GGGGGTGTTATTTATACTCAGAAATTGCCTTTTGCGTGCATATGACACATTTTTTTTCACGTACATATAATAAGCCCTTACCCACATCACCAATTTTAACCAAGAAGTTAACACTGCTTATCATAAGCACTCAAAAAGTCATTTCTGCATACAAATAGCATGTCACACACATATGCTATAATAGGTTCACAGAGCTAGGAGATTGGGTAGGTATTCTGACACCACCTTTTGACAAATTATACATTTAGATTAGCTACAACTGCAGTGGGGACCATTGTAAAGGACCTTTAAAGAGGGAGCCATCGGATAAGTAAGAGCGTGAAAAATAAGGTGATGACTGTGGGGGGTTTAAGCATCCAAGTGAAAGGACTTTACAAATGGCACTGGGTACAGATGAGAAATGAACTGTGTGCACAACTGCAAAAAAAAATGTATTTGGAGGGTATGCACTCAAAAAGTCATTTCTGCGTACAAATAGCATGTCACACATGCTATAGTATGTTCACAGCGCTAGGAGATTGAGAAGGTATTCTGACACCACCTTTTGACGAATTATACATTTAGATTAGCTACAACTGCAGTGGGGACTAGTGTTGTCACGATACTGGAATTTCTAACTTCGATACGATACCTTGAAAAATATCGATATTCGATACCATTTTCGATACCACGGAGTAAAAAACTGCCACAATATTAAGGGGGTAAATTATTATTTTTTTATTTAAAGATAAATATAACAAGTCTAGAACATGACAATGAGGTATATTTTACATGAACAAAAATGTCTTGAGGTAGTGCATGATGAACAGATTTTAATGCCGGATTCACATATAATCAAACGCAAACGCAAACGTGCGTGCATCACACGCGAAAGCAATATGCTCACTGGATCGACATGAAGACAAATTGCAGATTTTAAGTAATAATTTTTGAATAAAGTTAAATAAGCACAAGTTATTTTACATTTGACCACAGTTAAAGTATTTACTTGTCTAAGATTCCTCAGTCAGATTATATTAACTTTAAGAATTACGGTGAAAAAACGAGACAACACTCATATCAGCAACAATACTAGGCCATCTTGGTTAATGTTTCAGTAATGTTAAAATGAGAACAGTTACCAACCTCTCGAAATTCTTTATATAGATCCGGGTGTCTGTCTTTCAGGTGCTTTGCTAAATTAGAGGTGTTAGCGCCTTTTGTTAGCACTGCTCTGTAGCAACTCTTGCATATTGGCTTGCTTGTGTCCTTCGGCTTTCCATGTTCATTTGTTTCATATCCAAAATATTTCCAGATAGCACTCCTGCTGTGTTCTTTATCAACCAAAGCCGGTCGCGGGGGCGCCGCACTCGCCATCTTTCTATTCACTTCACTTTTGCTATTTAACCAGAGCGAATGAGACGAGACAGGCACTGCGGTCACGTGTGGTGTTTGTCAACGCGCCTTTGGAGAGAAGTGAAAGTGACAGCTCGGCTAGTATCGGTGTATCGATACTTCGGGAAATGAGTATTGGTACCGTTCAGATATTTCAGTATCGATATTTATCGAAATATCGATATTTTTTACAACACTAGTGGGGACCATTGTAAAAGACATTTAAAGAGGGAGCCATCGGATAAGTATGAACGTGAAAAATAAGGTGATGACTGTGGGGGGTTTCAGCATCCAACTGAAAGGACTTTACAAATGGCACTGGGTACAGATGAGAAATGAACTGTGTGCACAACTGAAAAAATATATATATATTTTTGGAGGGGGAAAGAAATGTGAACGTACACAAATAAATGGAGATGCTGTGTGGTGGATTAAAAACAGAATTTGGGTGCAAAAAATACATTAACCAAAAACGGAGTGAATGATTTGGTGCCTCGTTTGCACACCAGCAGCATGTAGGGCATCTCTTAGTTGAGGTGGGTTGTGGAAAGCTTCTTCCTCCTGCTCCTCCTCCTCCTCTTCTTCCACCTCGTCTGGCAAAGCTGCACCTCCAGTGAATGCAATGTTGTGTAGCATGGCTGTAACTACTACTACTGCACAACATTTTTGTGGCTTCAGACGCAATCCTCCAGCTGATTTATGAAGGCACCGGAAGCGCATCTTCCAGCGCCCAATTGAGCACTCCACCAAGTTGCGGGTACGACCGTGTGCATTGTTGTAACTGTGCTCAGCCTGCGTGGTGGGGTTGGTGACTGGATTTAGAAGATAGGTTCTCAGGGGGTAGCCGTTGTCTCCTAAAAAAATGCTCTGCCCAAAAACTCCTCTTTCTGCGTCTTGACCCGCCGCTGAATTGGCCCACACAAAGCTGTCGTGTGTGCTACCAGGCCACTTTGCCACCACGTCAGTAAACATCCCCCTGTGGTCCACTACCACCTGGACATTGATGGCCGCGAAGCCCTTGCGACAAATGAAGGCCTGGTCGAGCGCTGATGGGTTTGGCGATGGGGATAAGTGTCCCGTCCACAAGGCCAATTACTTGCGGGACACCCGCAATGGCATGGAAGCCTTGATGTGCCTCCATCACTTTTTGCCTGGTGAAAGACATACGTATATAATTGGTGGCGTGACGGAGTAGGATGTTTGTTACTGAGTGAACGCACCGCCACACCGAGGTCTTACTCAGCCCATATCCATCCCCAACCACCTCCAGAAAACTCCCCACAGCATAAAAACGGAGAGCCGCCAGCAGCTGAATTTCGGGATGTCACTTCCTGTCTCCCGTGGTGTTTGTAGTCAGTTTGTAGTCCGTTTGTTCATTGGTTCCCCTTAATTAGTCTCCCCAGGTGTGTCTTATCTTGTTAAGCTTGTTAGCCCCCCTGTGTGTATATATAGCCGGGTGGTTGACATATAAGCCTTTTTTAAACTTCAAATATTAGGCATAAAATATATTGAGCTGTGTTGTACTGACTCTTGAATTTCCAAAGAAATATGTGGTCTTTTAGATTTTGTATTGGAAATTGGATTTATTTACCAATTTGTTGCATTTGTGCCTAAAATTGTCATATGGTGTGACATAAAAGTTATTCTATATAAAATGAAATTGGGATATACTCTCCCTAAGTAACTAACTTCACCATAAATCTTTATCATTACTTAAGATTTAACATTATTTTGTGCAGATCCATTAGATTTTGTATTATTTTTCTAAATCATCATGCAGAGTAAGACATCTCTCCTCAGCCTTTCCAGACATTTTAGAATAATTCTGACAAACTATAAATCTAACAAAATGCTTGTGAATCTTGCTGATACTATTTATTTGTTGTTCCATTTACTTTTTTATGGTTTATAACAACAAAAAAAGTATTTTTATTGTCACAATTCTGATTGTCACACCAAATGATATAGTGTCACACTATATGATGAAATGCACCACACCACAATTTGTCAATGCAAAAAAGTGTATTTTATATGCATTAAACATTCAATGACTTCAATTCAATTAACATTAATAACTGGCTTGATGTGAGCCCACACTGCACTTTCATCATGTCTCAGAGACTGTGATACAGTTTCATAGCTCTGGGACCCACCACTACCATAGGCCACCCCTGTGTGTAGAGTTGCTTGTTGCCTGTTGCCTCCAAAATGAAAGGCTTGAATTTCAGTGTTAAGCTTGCAAGCATAGTTTTCACTGAAATCAATATGAAGGACCATTTCATTGTCTTGCAAGTTCTCTTTGAGATGTCTCAACTCTAACTTGATGAATCCAGTTGTAGTGATGACTAGCCAGTTCTTCAAGGTCTTTCTGGAACACTCCTAGCAGTTCTCCAATTGATCCCGCTTTGGTTCTTTCAACACAGTTCTTGTAGTTTTTTTCTCTGACTGTAATAGGCTCTCTCTGCCACTGTTCCCATGTGACCCTCTCAGCAGGATTATGCCCTCTGAACTTAACCTCCTCAAAACAGCATTCTGTGCATTGCCGCCTCATGCACAAGTCATTATCTGTGCTGCAGCATATGGATGACAGCAGTGTCGAAAGACTTTTTGTTGTGATTAGTCCTCTTTTTGAAAGAGTTGCAATCAGAAGCCTCATGTTTTCATGTTGATGGCATTCATTGTGTCTTGAGTTTTCTTTTTGAGATGTCTCAACTCTAACTTGATGAATCCAGTTGTAGTGATGACTAGCCAGTTCTTCAAGGTCTTTCTGGAACACTCCTAGCAGTTCTCCAATTGATCCCGCTTTGGTTCTTTCAACACAGTTCTTGTAGTTTTTTTCTCTGACTGTAATAGGCTCTCTCTGCCACTGTTCCCATGTGACCCTCTCAGCAGGATTATGCCCTCTGAACTTAACCTCCTCAAAACAGCATTCTGTGCATTGCCGCCTCATGCACAAGTCATTATCTGTGCTGCAGCATATGGATGACAGCAGTGTCGAAAGACTTTTTGTTGTGATTAGTCCTCTTTTTGAAAGAGTTGCAATCAGAAGCCTCATGTTTTCATGTTGATGGCATGCACAGGTGTTGCGATCACATGATTTTGGTTGAGTGATGTAGAATGGTTTGTATCTGGTGAACTGCCTGTAAGACATTCTGTGCAATTTATTACTCTTATCATTGAAGACTTTGTGAAGGTCTTGAAGTGTGCTTGTAAGGATTCTTCTTTGTTTCTTCTCTTTTCTTCCAATTGTGTCCTTTTTTCCAGGAAGCAAAATGCTGTTCTCATCCAATTGCAGAAAAGCCTCAACCCTTTTTTTTCTCTCACTGGACAATTTTTTAGCTGCTCGGGAGTGAAACTTCTCACTAATAGTGCGAGCAGGCTTTTGCTCTATTTTCCGTTCACATTTTTTCCTGTATCTTTCTGCTTTGGAGTGTTCTTCTTTCAGTTTTTTCATAAGTTCCTGATTTTGCCTTTTAACTTTCTTAAGTTGTTTCCTCAGATTATCATTCTGAACTATCAACTTGCTTGGGATGGACACTTCAGACACCTGTAGATTCTCAGGGGGGCATTCAGGAGGAGAATTGGTAAAGGAATGTGACTGGACAGAAGGCTCTGGTGTGCTTCTCTCCACATCTCTCTCATTTTCTCTTGTCTTGAAGGAAGAAGGGTGTGCACACTGAATGCCTTGAGTTGTCCTCTTTGTTTCTTCCCTTTTTACCTGTTAATGAAAAATATATAATGATTAAGATTTTTTTAACCGTTCATTTCAGCCTCACAATCTTGATAATAGTATCCTGTGTTGAAGTTACACTATGCAGGTTGTGGCCTAGACTTTCATCCTTCCCTATAGAAGGTGTCTGTTCTGTGTGAACTGGCATGATCTCCTTACTTTTTCCTCCTTTCCCTCAGGACCTCCTCTCTCCTTGCATGGTCAGCATTGAGTCTTTCCTTGTATTTTCGTGTCCTCTCTTTACTTGACATTTCTGCCTGACAGACAAAAAATTGCATCTTTTAATATGTAAAGCATGGCAAACATGGTTAAATTAAGTATAAAATTGAAAAGGAATATATTAATTGTATGGGCAATTTAATGTACACCATTAAATTCTTTCAATATGTTTTTAATATTTATTTATTTATCATTAAAAAAGGTGTATGTAATATTGTGTGACAAAAGTATCATATGGTGTGACTTGGAAAAACAGTCACACCATATGATACAGTGTCACACCATATGACGTTTTGTTCAGTTTAGCCAATCTCTTTGTTAACTAAAAACAGCTAGCTTATACTTAGCATGTAAATTGCCACATGGCAGCAATGATTTTTAAGAATTTATAAGTAAAATTTGTAAAAAAGTGTTTAATTTTTATGTAAATAATGTCACACCATAAGACACAAAACATTGACCACTAATGAGCACATCAGTGACAGAGCTTTTTAATTAAAAATTAAAAAGTCAGAACTCACCAGTTCACCTTCCAAACCACTCCAGAGAGGACACTGCAGCTTCCTGGTTGAGTGTGGACCTCTTCATCATAATGATGTCCAAATTATTGCCCGTTCAAAATACAGATTGTAATGTCACACCATATGACGCCCATTTTATGGACAAAATGTATTTAGCCAGAACTTGCTTTAAAATCATGCACAGACATCAACACTTTCTGTGTCCATTAAAAATGCCTAATTCTGTTACTTAAACTGTAAATCTATCAATTATTTATATTTTGCTGAGATATATTGTCATATTAGTAAGGTCACACATAGTCCGGACAGTCACACCATATGACAATTTTGATGTTTAGATACAAATTTGAAGTAGAGGTCTTTATACACCAGTAAAGCTATGGTATGCTGTAATAATATCTTGTCAGAGGAACAACATAAAGATATAAATTTTTAACAAATACACATTTTTATTAGTACATGACATCATGGACAGGTAGAACTGCATGTCATGTCATCCACCCAGCCCTAGTTTTTCTTTAGTTCCTTGTGAGTTGTAGAATTTAATGGCTGTCTGTTTGCCAGTCATTTTTTGCCAGTTTTTGCCTTCTTGTTTGTTCTAGTTTTTCCATGAAATACCAGCACATAGATCCTTGCCTCTGCCTGTTTTCCGCAGCTTCTCCACAACCTTACAGTTTTTCACTGGCATGTCTCTTTGACTAGTGCATCTTTGAGCCTATATTTAGAATAAGTAAAATACTTAAGTACTGTTAAAATCAGATACTCCAAGACTTTTTACTCAAGTTGTTTTAGAATTGGGGGCTTGTAATGTGTAGTGGAGTAATTTTCACTGTAAGGTATCTGTACTTTTACTCAAGTATGGGTTTTAGGTACTCTTTACACCTCTGCCCAAATCCAATCGAACGCTAATTGGCTCTCGCCTGCATTCGTCACGGATTGCGACATGCTGTGTTTCTGGTGAGAATGATGCGTGCGCGCCTTCACGAGTTCACAGAGTGGTTCTGGAAAATAATCTGGAAAATATTTTCAACTGATTAACAATTTAAATTCTGCTCTGCACCTCACACAAACCTACTGTATTGCGCCAGAGAGGACTGGCTGCAACGCATCGTCATTTGGATCAGTTTTGGTACTGCTTATTTTTGCAATAAATAAATGATTGTAATTGCATTTATCTGTCTGTCATGTTTTTCTTATACTGTACAGAAATAGTTATGTTTAGGATTAGAGGTAGGAGTGGGATTAGCGACTATAAAAAATATTTTTATTTCTATATTGTTACTAAAATGGTTAATTTTCCTGCATATTTCGGTCAATTGTGTTTTATATCCTTTTTTATATTTGCTATAAAATGGTTTGATTAAGGTTTGGAGGTAGGTTAAGGAGTTTAAAAGTCTAAATCGCTTATTGATAAAATGATAAAAATGCATACAAATATCTTAATGATATAAAAGATACGCAAATAGTTTACGTTTTTTAGCTAGAAATATGTAGCGATTTGTACATTTTAAACGTTGAAATCCGTGTAAATTGTACGTTTTAGCATCAATAAAAACGTACAAAACATACGTAACATAGGTTTCATAGATAATTGGATGAGTTTTTGGGGCAGACCTGACCTGTTGCGTCGCGTTCGGTTATGACGATAAAACTCTCTCCAATATGATTAAATGTTCCTAATGTTATACTAGATCTGTAAATAAATATAAATGGTTTTGCATAAAAGGAATTTATCTTGCTGGAGTTTCGTGCTGCTTCTAAATCGTGTAAATTTCTACCGGATATCTGGTTAGATCACAAGACTGGAGTAGAGAGCAATATGAATTGTTCTTCACGAACGAAGTAACTGAAATTTAAAACTGTTAAAAGAAAAGGCTCAATAAACTAACGCACATATTTAATACACTACGCATCAATATCTCTTCACTTTGTGCTTTGAACTTCTCTATGCGGAAAAGCGCGCTGTGACTCCATGTTGCTTCAAGCGCATCATTCTGTGCACGGGATGCGCATAAGCGCTTTGTGCTGCTCTGTATTTGGAGCCTAATTAGTATCATAATACTTTTGCGCAATGAAAGATTAATAATAGCCTTTCTTGTATCTATCATATGTTGCTGCCTCATTACTCTGCTACACATTTCAAAGAAATGTCTTTTAATTTATACAGTAGTCAACATTTGAAGTGGATTAAAAAAGTTAGTCAAAGTTGTCCTAAGACAAGAACGTGTATTGTTTTGGTTTTAGGACAACTTTGATGAAAGGTTTTGATCCACTTCAAATGTTGACTACTATAGTATTTATTTATATATAAATATATTACTTGTTTTTTATGAATGTTATTCACTTTTATTTGTTCCCCACTAAATAATGTATTTTTTTTTCACTAAAAGTTTATGATTTTATAAAATTATTGTGCACTCATGATTTTTCTAGAGTAACATTTGCTACTGAATTATCCATTAAACTAGTTTATAATAGTACTTTTGTCATAGATTATGATTATATATTTTTTTGTTTGTTATTTTTCTTTATAATAAAGCTGTCTATATCGGAGTATGTGAGCGGAGCGGAGTGGGAGTTTCACGGAGTGTAGCGGTGTGATTTTGAATGGAGCGAGGAGCAGATTTTTTAAAAGTCGGAGCGTCGTGGTTTTCATTCGCTCCAAGAGCGCTCCACCACCGCTCCATCATGAGTAAAATTCATGCCAGCGGCCCGTAATATAACTGCACATTTAGCAAGAATTCATGTTAAACATATTTAGCTGGCTTGATAGAGAAGGATCACTTAAACCAGAAAGAATGTGAAGGCTATGTTGACGGCAATGGACATAGCGGGAAGTTATAGGGTAGTTATTAAGTTATTTGTTTGTTCCCTCTAGATCAGGGGTGCCCAAACTCGGTGGAGAGCAGAGTATAGCTCCAACCCTAATCAAACACACCTGAACCAGCAGCCCAGCTCGAGATACTGAATATTTTCAGGTGAAATCATGATTTAAACAGGTACAACACTTATTCACATGCAATCGCTCTCTCAATAATGCATTCAAACAAATGTAATCTTATACAGTGCTACTTCATCTGCATCCGATTTCGAAATGAGCAGAAATCTGTAAGAAATGCAGCGATCCGTAGGTAAAATAACTGACGAAAACGTACTGTTATTTTCATCACAAACAAAATTTGCACTGCAAAAAGCATCAATAGCCTTCTCAATAATGCAAACAAATGTAATCTTATACAGTGCTACTTCATCTGCATCCGATTTCGAAATGAGCAGAAATCTGTAAGAAATGCAGCGATCCGTAGGTAAAATAACTGATGAAAACGTACTGTTATTTTCATCACAAACAAAATTTGCACTGCAAAAAGCATCAATAGCCTTTTAATGCTGAAAACCATGTTATTAGCTTGTCATGTGGTAGGAAAATAGTTTGCACACTAGTGTTCCAATAATCCACTTTGAAACGCTCCTGTCATTTTATTTTTTTTCTTTTTTCTTTTAATATACGTTATGAACAGAACTGTGATATTTCAAACATACTGAAATACCTTAGCCGCGGAGCGGTGTTTCTGATATCAGTGA